ATTGGCACTTATTTTATAAATTATTATTTTTATTATTATATTAAGCTTTTAATAACATAAATATTTTTATTCAGATAATCAAGACGAATCTAACGACGACATACATTTAAAAAGTGATACCGCCAGTGATTTAAGCAAGAGTGATATACAACCAAATAAAAATCTTGAAAATATATTGAGAGCAATACGAACTCTGGATGAAGTATGGAATTTCTTTATTACCTACATCCTGAACATGGGACTTTTGGTATTACTGCCGCACTCACGTGATATGGAGTTGCAAATGGTGCAAATGGGGGGATTTGAGCCTTTTATACAATTTCTAATTGATCTTTATCGGACTTTTTTTTTTTCCAAAAAAATCTAATGTGTACAACTAGATTAAAAATAGTAGTGAAATTTTTTCTTGCAGCCTCATACATAACACACTATACTATGCATAACAATGCATGCAAGTAAACAATGATATTCGTTAGGTTTTTATTTATATATTATAATGCTTTGTATAATAAAAATTGAAAGATATTTATAATTAACGTTAAGTTTATATACGTAGTGAAATTGCAAGGTATAACGCTAATAAATAATTAACAAAAGAGCTCTTTATTACAATAGTTATAAAATTATTTGAAAAAAAATACATAAATTTGTAGAATAATTATATCAAAAAATTATATTCTCATTCTCCAATACGTAGCACTTTTATTTCTAAAAAAATCAATATCTTAACTATACCGCAATATTAGAAAGAGTAATTGAAATGTTAAAAATAGAGATTATTAAAAATTCAATCTTATCTGAAAGCTATTTGTATAACAATTACAAGCTTTATTATTCTGTAATATTTATTATAGTATTATATTCTAAATTTTGTATCTGCTTGACTTCGTTGGCAACTTATCTCATTGATTACTTTGAAAAACTTGATAATTTTGAGAGATTTGTTAGTAACATGAAAAAACAATTGAAAAGTTATTTTTCAAAGGATACAAAAAGACTAAAATCGATAGAATCAAACAACAATTGGAGGTTTCAAAGTTAAAAATCAGACACCTATTTCGAAAGAAATATATTTGTTTCAAATAAATGATCTATAAATTCTTATAATAAGTGTAAGCTTATTTCATTTTCTGGTTTCAAAATTTTAAAATACAAATCCAATTTTTTAAACCCTACTTATTTTGGGAATAAGTTAACTTTGAAATCCCCTAATACTAATACTCGAGACAATATTCATAAATAGTTTTTTTTTGTTATAATATAAAAAAGAAAACCATAAGATTTCATTTGAGAAATTTATAGACCAATAAATAAATATATGGTGACAGTTTGTGATTTATTATACAG